TCGATAACTTCGTATAATGTATGCTATACGAAGTTATTACGTGAGAGAGAGAGAGAGAGAGAGAGAGAGAAAGAAAGGTTCCAATTCTACTTGCCTTACCTCTGGCGTGTGTTTGTGTGTGTGCACTTTTTACCCAGGCGTAATTTTATTTATTTTTATTTTTTGGCATCCATATGTTGATGTTTCTCATCTCCTCTACACACCATGAAACAGTTACTTATAAATGACAAAATTGAAAACAAAAGATTTTTTACTGTCACTGGTTCATTTCCCAAATTTCAGGAGCCCAATGCCAACAGTGTTGCCTGGAACACGCAGAACGAAGACATGCTATGTTTCAGTGGCTCCGGCCTGCTGAACATCAAGGCCAGCAACTTCCCCATACACCAACAGAAACTACAGGTAATGTCACCAGGGGGGGGGGGGGGAGTTATGTGTAGGGGGAGCTGTAATGATGATAGATATAGGACCAATGTGTATGATTCTGATACATCTGGAGATAAACGTGCACATTTGTATATATATAGGACATTATGTTCCCTAGTAGTACCCAGTTGTTAGTATTATTACGAATTGTACTTGAAACCTTTCTCCTCTTAACTTTTAACTTGACTGCTTTTGTTAATATAGATGACTTATCTAGTATGCACTAATAAGCCACCTAACTTTTTTTATTCAAGTAATGATAACATTCTTTATTCCTAAAGCTGCTTTCAGACACAGATGTAAGGACTGGTTTTAATCTAGATAATATCACCAATTGACAGTAACTCCCAGAGTTTACAGCCCAGCAATTTGCTGCTTAGTGACTTTATTAGCAGGTTCTATTATAATTTTTTTAATTAATTGATACATTAATTTTGTGATTGGGGGGGAGGGGGGGGAGGCACCATCATCTCCATCTCCCCTGGGTATAAAATGCCTTACTAACTAGAAAAAAATATATGCGGATGTCTGGTGATGCTGTTTAGATCCAAATCGATCCAAGCCTTACTCTGTCTGAATGTGCCATAAGTTCTATAAGTGTGTGCATGTACTGACTTCATAACCTTTCTCTTCCTGCAGTTCCCTCTGGTAAGTTAAGTGGTCAGTTCACACAAGGACTGCTTAAGACTGGAGATTGGGTATACTCACGTCATCAGACCACCAGCTTGATATACCAGAGATCCCCAGTAAATCTCAGACATCTGAATCCCTGGAAAGTTGTTAGTTAATCTGACCATTATAATAATGATTTTCTGGGGTTTTAGGTGTATGAGATCTTACGTGATCTTTGTTATGTGGTTGTTCAATAATGAAAGTTGGACCAATCCCAGTTTAATATAGACCTTGTATGAACGACCTACACACATGGGTAACTTAAACAGGCTATGCACAGCTTAACACCCACATTCACTTATCAAGTCTAAAAAAAAACATGAACTTATTTTAAATTTTCCAATGGCAGGAAGTATTTTAACTCTAGTTCTATTTAATACAATGTTTATGAAGGGATTCTTGTGATTTTATTGTTCTCACTGCTTCAGTCTCTCGCATATTGATAGGCATGTTTGACATAGAATGCAAATCAGATAATGTCTTGGGTAACCAGATTTGATTATTGTACCACCAGCGTTAGCGCTGGCGGTACACATGGTTTCGGTCCCGTCCGGATCGTTCCGCCGGCTCCGTTGGCTCCGCCGGCTCCGCCGGCTCCGCCGGACGGCTACCGTTACCGCTTCTCCTCCTAGACGGTAAGGGCCCCCGTACCCATCTCATGGATTTAGGTCACCTATAATCTCAACTCGTTCCACGTAAAATTTGGGCTTTGTCGGTATTGGGGTCTGGGTGTGGCACTCATTGCAATGCACCCTTGTCTAAAAATGGCAAAATTAAATGCTAATTATCTACCCTACGGAAGGAGTTATGGGAAAAATTTCTATAGACGGCTTTCCAAAAGTCATATGTGTAGATTTCAAATATACCCT